TTTCTCGCAGGCCTGGTTTCTCATCTCTCACAGTTCCCAACTACACCATATCCCTCAGTGCTCTGTCGACCCAACTCTTAAACACCTCCACGGATGGGGACTCCACCACCTCCCTGAGCAGCCCATTCCAACACATAAACAACCCCTTCTATGAAGAAATGCTTCCTAATATCCAGTCTAAACCTTCCCTGGAGCAAATTGAGGCTATTACCTCTTGTCCTATCACTTGTTACTTGGTTAAAGAGACTCATCCCCAGCTCTCTGCAACCTTTCAGGTAGTTGTAGAGGGTGATGAGGTCTCCCCTCATCCTCCTCTTCTCCAGACTAAACACCCCCAGTTCCCTCAGACGCTCCTCGTATGACCTGTGCTCTAGAGGCTGCACCAGCTCTGTTGCCCTTCTCTGGACACGCTCGAGTCATTCAATGTCCTTTTTGTAGTGAGGGGCCCAAAACTGAACACAGGAATCGAGGGGCGGCCTCACCAGTGCCGAGTACAGGGGTCAGATCCCTTCCCTGTCCCTGCTGGCCACGCTATTGCTGACACAAGCCAGGATGCCATTGGCCTTCTTGGCCACCTAGGCACACTGCTGGCTTCTGTTCAGCCAGCAGTCAATCAACATCCCCAACTCCCTGTCTGAATGGCAGCTGGCATTTAACATCTTCAGAAATGATCTGGATAACAGACAAGTGGAGCCTTGACTGCAACTACATGCATGAGACAGTATGGTTTGAAATCCTGCAGTGTTTAAGATTTTGAAATGAAGAGAGCAAGTAATCTAAAGTCCTCAACAAAGACCCCTGGCTTTATGAGGGTGGATTTCTGCTTGTTCAGGGAAGTGCCTATCAAGATACTATGCATGATAGCTCTAAAGAATAAAAGAGCCCAGGAAAATCTATTAGTATTGGAAGACAATTTCCTCCAAGCACAAGAACAATTTGCCCTGGTCTATGAGGCATAGGGGAAGGCCAGTTTGGCTAAACAGGGAAGTCCTCCTTATACTCCAACACAAAAATGATACATACGGGAGGTATTATCAGGGACAGACTATCAAGGATGAGAACAAATGCAGTCTCAAGCATGTAGGATAAAATTACAACCAAAGCTTTTCTGAAGCTGAAATTGGAGTGGTATGTTAGGTATAACAGCAAAGGCTTCTACAGGTACATAAGCAGCAGGGGGAAGACCAAGAAAAATGTCCCATTGCCAGGTAGAGCGGGTAATCTAAAGACAAAGGAAGTGGAAAAGCTGGAGGTTCTTAGTGCCTCCTTTGCTCTGGTCTTTACTAAAAAATCTGCTTTCAGACCTCCTAAGTGTTTCTACATAGTCATAGAGTTTGAGGGATGGGAGTACTATTCATGAGAGAACAAGACTGAATTATGATATGTATATTAAACACACACCAGTTCACAGGGTGAAAGGGATGCATCCAAAAGTGCTGAATGAGATGTCCAATCTCATGGCAAGGATGCTATATATCTTCTCTGACAGGTTAGATGAATGGTAGGGGTCTCCAAAGTCCAGAAAAAGACAAATGTATCAGCTGTCTTAAGGAATGACAAGGAGGATCCAGAGAACAGCAAGCAGGTAGTGTCATCTCAGAACATCAGAATATTATGCAGGAAGTCTTGGTATAACCCATTTCCAGACTCATGAAGGACAGAGAAGTGACTATTTTATGGTCCATGGTGTATTTGGAACCTTGCAGAAGACACTTTAATTGAGGAGTTAGTGACTTTGGGCAACTCATGTCTGCTCTGTTGGGCCCTGTACATCAATAAGCCTTGAGAAGCCCATATGTTAGCGTAATTGCTGTTTAAGTCCATGTACGCAATATTGTAAGATAACGTGCTAGATTTCCCCATACTGATCTGTGCTGTGCTCTACTGGATAGCATGAAAATAATAGTGTTCCTACTTGTCAGGAGAAGATACATGGTTGGCTTTGTTACACAAGATAAAGGCATCACAGCACTGGAGACAGAAAGAACCTCTCTATGGAAGGGGTTTGCCCAGTGTGCCACAGCAATTAATTTGGATTCTGCCTAATGGTGCTCAACAGTGGGGCTCCCAGCAACTGATGGCTCATGATTTACTCTCTTCTTTTTCTTCCAATTTCCATCTTATTATTGATGCAATTCTGATCCACTGTTTGCGGTCAAGCTTTTTTTTTTTGTGGTCTGGAAAGAACCCTGCACCATGCCCAACCCTCTGGTGCAGAACACATGGTCACAATCAGAAATCATTTCAGCCATTTATTAAATCAATTATTAAAATTAGAACTTCCTTGCTACCAACTACACTGCATTTTTAAACCTTTAGGGTACCTAAGACTATAAGAAATAGATAATAAAGCAATAGGGTAACACGTTTGCTAAAATTGTTAGTTGCTAGCACAACTGCTTAACAACTGAAGTAGAAGTAAAATAATAAGAAAATTAGAGTTCTAATTTTGGTTTTGAGTAGGAATTTCAAAATATATATATATATAAATATTTTTAATCTGTGTCATTCAGAGAAAATTTTAATATTGCTAAAATATGACCTAAAATCTGACAATATAGACTGATATAAAAATTAGATTCAATATGTTTTTCAGTGAATGCTGTTATACTTGTATTCCCTGCATTAAATGTATGTTAGCTACCTCTTACTTTTGCTAGAAATGGATATTTGAATAAAATTTTTTGGGGAATATCTATCATTTATATAAATAATATTATCTTCAAAATAAAAATGCTCAGTATGGGTATATTTATCTGTATTTTTATTTTAAAACGTTAAATAAATCTTGTTGATAAAAATAAAAAATAGTTGATGATACATTTAATGTTTAGTCTTTGAATAATTTCTCAATCTAGAATACATTAATATCATTACTTATATAAGATATAGCACAATATAATTAGTACAGTTATAGTATTATCATAAGTAATACATTAGTATCAAATGCTTAATATTACATCAAGGTTACTGCAGGCTCAGCTCTGTTGCTCAGGACAGCTGGCACATACAATGAACAACATGAAGCCATTTTTTTATGCCCATTAAAAGCATAGTGAGTAGCTGACAGGTAGGCCATTGAAGTGGACATGCTCAAGGCAATCATCAGCTGTGTCGTACCAGCTTCACAAAGTGGGAAACTTCGGCTAAAGACCATCTGTTACAGCAAAGATTGTGCATTATTGCTTTGAGAGCCTTTGAACAAGCCTGGAATGACAGAATAACTCTGTGCTGTACTATTACTCTATAGAAATGTAAGCATAGTGTATTTAAGAAAAAACATGAGTGGCATTTACAACTGCTAACATGTGACAATTGGACTGATTTTTCATCAACCAAGTGTCAAAGTACGGAATTCCTCAGTTATTAAAATAAAAATATATTCATGACATATTTTTTATAAAGATTTTTCCATTCTAAACAGATTAAATTACTGTCCTCTGTGTTTAAATAGAGCCCTATCTAAAATCACTTGAAAGCCTAACACTCAGGATTTCAACCAAGTTCTACTCACCAAGCACACTGGGTACAAAATGAAAGAGCTGAAGTTTTGAAAACACTTGAAAACACAAGTATTAGGCTGAAGATCATCAGCTAGCCAGGATGTGAACAGCTTTGTGTTTATATTATGCCATAAGTTTGTATTTTAAAATGTATTTTCAGATGGAATTATTTTTTTCTACTGTTAATTTCATTTACATAAATCGTCTTTCAAATAACGGAATATCCATTGACACTATTAAAATTTTTTTTTTTTAAATATTTTAAAACTAGATTTTATCAAAGGGAATGAAGACTGATTTATTTCATAGTATCTATGATTTGTGTATCTCTTTTCTATATTGAATATTTTTCAGCAAAATCCAGAAGAGTGAGTAAGCATGGCAAGAACAATATTTTCTCTAAATTTAGGTCTAAATTTTCAGTTTCTTAGATCTCAGTGAACAATGTAGATGAAATTTCCCCATTATGAAGCAAATAATTAATATGAATATTGTAGAGAGAAAGAGTGATCATTGTTAGGAATCAGAAGTACGTATATGGTGGAAAACATCCTTGAGCACTGACTTTAATGTGATGTTATTTGACAAAAAAATGTGATGCTGTTTGAGAAAAGACTGCATATGTTAGTGTATCATTCCAACAATGGTAATTTATACTGGAGTATTGGCAGTTAGAAAGGCTCCAAAACACATCTATCACTTTTCTTTCATGTCTCATACTTACAAATGGTCAAGATTCTAATTTAAGTTTGAAATTTGGAAGGGAAGTCTGTAGGCTGTGTTCCTGGATTGGATTTTATTATAGTACAAAACCTGATTCTCAGACACTAATGCTTGGATTTGACTGAAATGTTTTACTGCAATCAGATAGATATTACCAGTTAGAAAGGTATGATGCTTACAAGCAACAATTTCCTGGGGCATCTTGGCATCTGACAGTATATATATTATTTTTGAAAGAAGCAGTTAGAAATAAATGACCTGTTCAAGTAATTAACATGTAGTACTTAGATTTAGGACAGCTGATTTGTCTTTGAAAAGTAACATGTTTCAGCATATCAGTTTGAAAAGCACAGGGGCTTTCAACTTAAAAAAAAGCAAAACAAAACAAACAAAAAAACCCCACCAAAACCCAAACTGTTTAATTCTTCTTCCTGATCCAAAATTCCAAAATGGATTATTTTTTTTTAAAAAAAGAATTATTTATATTGGAAATTTTATTATTGAATAAAATACCTCTAGTAGTCAAGGAATAGTTATTATACTATTCTGTTTGTATCATTCAGAGACATAAAGGAGAATAGATTGAATATATGAATATATTTGTCCAAATCCTTTAAGTTTATTATTATTGCCACCCCCTTGCCTCCCCCCCCCAAGACTTAATTTTATCTCACTAATTAGTAATTGTAGTAGCTGAAGACCTAAAGAGGCAACAGAAGTTTACATAAAAATATTTACTGAGTGCAGCACTCTTTCACATCTGTCACAGAACAGTTCACCAAGGAGTATAATTTTGAGCTGCTTTTTTTTATTTTAATTTATTTTTTTTTTTTTTACTTCTATGATTCTTATAGTTTAAAGAAGGAAGCTTACCACTGTTTACAATACCACAGCTACTCTGGGTATGTCTATTTATTCCAAGTCAGTGCTAGACCAGGTAATTTCCACAGTGCCTGATTTATTTCAGCTTGTTTGTCGCTATTCTCAAATTAGATTGATTCTCCTTTTAGAAAGCAAAGCTTTTTAACCTTGCAGATCTCGTCCCCCAAGCTAAAGCTCAACTGTTTTCTATAAAAGTAAAATGCTTTGGTAGGCTTCTTCCCCACAGAGAATCAGTCTACTCCAAGAGCAGCTCTCCAGACAAGTAATTTACTTCTATAAACAGTATAAATAAAGCAGAAATAGAGGAAAATATCTCAAAAAAAACCCTACAACATGTCTTCTTTTACAGCACCCTGGTTGGTTTATTTTATTTCTTGCAGAAGGTCTACAAGCTGTTGCAGTTGGCTATCTGTAGGAGGTCCTCAAGCTGCTCATGAAGAATTTAGGTAAGTAAATTTACAAGGTTTTTTTCCCCTTCTCACTGGTAGAGGTGCAAGTTAAGAAGCTTGCACAGAGTTACTTAACCACCTGCATATTTTTTAAGTATTTGTTGGTAATTTTACAAATATATAAAGGTGGCCTTCCTTATAAGAATTCAAACCAAAATGTTTGTGATCTGAATTAATCTTTTTATCCATTAAATCACATTCATGCATAAATGTGTTTCCAGTAAGAATAACATAATATTTATCAAGAATAAGAAAAATGCCCTTAATTGTATAGTTAGTTTTGATAACAGATTTGTTTCATACTGTTACTATATGGTTAGTATCAAGTATACATCCTGATCCTATATAGATGAGTATGTATTTTGGGGGGTTTTTTGTTTGTTTGTTTCCAAGTTATGTTCATGAGATAAAAGAGAAAAGGAAAAAATAATCCAGCATAAATTGTTACAATTGTTTGGATAACAAGAGGTGTGAAGAAAATAAATCTGATCAAAGCTTACATTCATTATCCAGGCTAGGTTGGTAATGGTAACTATAGATATATTAAAAGATGAACATGTAATAATTTTTGACAGATTCATTAAAATGCATGCTATTTAATATTGTTAAAAAACATTAAACAGGTTAATAACAGACATACTTTTAAGACAGTGATTAATAGGGAACTATATCTAAAGAAGATCTTTAAGTAGAGTACTGGGGGGAGTCAGGAATTAGCTAGGAAGAAAGTTTTTATGTTATCCTAATTTATAGTACTTTGAAAAAAAAAAAAAGGCATATCAAAAGTTTCATAAGAAATCTATTTAGACAGTAAAAAACCCACACTGGATATGAACAAGGTATTTAAATACGTTTTGTTCCAGAAAAAAACCTGAAGCATATCAACCATTGTATGGAAGGAGAATCATAAATTGCATATGAAAGATGTCACGTGTTTTAAGTACTGAACAATGAAAACAAATTGAAATAAAATTTGATAGAGTAACACCTTCATTGTTCTGTAATTTAAAGAAAAAGTGAGCATTCTTCTGGAAGATGCACTGCAGCAAAACATACTTTACTGAGCTCAGTACCAGTGATAGCTGGAGAAAGGCAATAGCTTGTGATATGAAGCTCTTCATATTGTGTGACCCTGTGTGACATTGTAGTTTTAAATTATTTATGAAAATAATGGCTTGGATTTAGAAGAACGGAGAGTGAGTCATGATATTTATTAAAAAAAAAAAAAAACACAAACAAAAAAACCCAACAACATACCAATAGAAAACCAACAAAACAAAACAAAAACCCAAAACACAAAACAAAACCCACAAGAGAAAATAAACAAAACTCCTAAGAAAGAAGGATAGTAGACTAACATTAAGAGGTATGGTATTCACCATGCATGTAATAACACTACTTTGCAGTTGTTGGTTTTCTTGACTGTTATATGTTCAGATTTATTCAAGGTAGGTAAATATAATTAATTAATGTACTTTCCTCTAACTAAAAAGAATGAGAATACATATCTCTGTAAGTATACAAAATAATGAAATAATAATAATAATAAAAAAAAAAAATTCTTCAAAGAGTAAAATCCCTTAATTTTCAAGAAAACAAGCAAATTCATCATCTCAATTTGCACATGACCCTCAAACTTTAGCAATGTGCAACTATCATGTCCTGCTTATACAAGGGAGACAAGTGACTCAGATTCATAAATTCTCAGTGCAGTGGACAATGGTGAGACAAGTCTCAAAATCCAAACATTTATTAACTTCCCACAATGTACTAATTGGATACACAATAACTGGCTAAGTATGTAACGAGTTGTGGCAAGCAGCACAGTATGCCTTGCATTTCTTAATGGTAGTGAAGGAAAAGCGGAAAAGAGAAAAGATGGAGGTGAAGAGAACAGAGGAATAGAGATCATTGATCTGGATTCCTGCTTTGAACCTGCCAGCAAGGGTTCAAAGAGGCATCTGTCCTCTTTGCTTCATTCTCTGGACCACTCCCCACCCCCCTTGGCCCCCCCTCGATTTATACCCACTTTCCTTGGGTCCATTCCCTAAGTCAACCCACATACCTATGTATCCCATGTATGGGGAGGTGTAAGGGGTTTCATGGGATGATGTAATTAGCATGATCTTGTTAGTCTTCGTTAGCATATTGAGGGGTGTTAACTTTAATATGCATTTCATGGATAATGAAACAGAGGTCATTCACTGGACAGATGGCCCTTGAAATTTGCCCAGGTGACCCGGAGGAGAGCCTTCCTGTCTCCACAGGGCTCCCTCCTCCAGCTGCACCCTGTGTTATTGGGGCAGCCTTTGATCTCCACACCATCCACCTCATGATTATAGTTTAATTACTTGCAAGTGTTTGAGACATTCCTTAGCTTGGAGGGCCTCCACTCCCACTGCTATCCTTTATCTCTTTCTCAGGCTGTTTTTCTCAGTCTTTGTTTCTCCCAAGCCTATTTCTTCCAGGACCTATTTTTACAAGTTGTCTCTCACAGTAACTAATCCTACTGGAAAAAGACATTGATATGTAAAGAAATTTCTCTGTAAAGAATTTAGTGCAAAATTTATGTTTATCACTGTACTGATAAATAATTTATGTTGTTAACAGATTCAGTACTGTAAGTGCTACTACAGAATTAATCTCTTTTTTTAATTTGCAAAAATTCCTTCTCTTTACAAAGCTGTAAAGCATTTATAAATTTTAAATAGTTTAAGGTTGTGGCTGATCACATTAAGAAAGTGTTATTTTTTAATTAAAAGAAAATACAAAAGTTACTTTTTTGTTTTTTTTAATCTTTAATGTTTTATTCTAGCAAGTTTGTATATCGGCGTCAATGACTACAAAAATTTAGCCATATATTAGGCCATACGCACTGCAACATTGTTTAATTCCCTTGAGGTTACTTTTAAGTTTGATGCTGTTGATTGCAATCTTGACTATATAACTCCCATCATACATTCATGAAGTCCATGTGGAGACATCATAAGGGCAGAGTTACATCTGCATCACCTTGACATTTTATAGACTGAGACAAGAAAAAAAAAAAAGACTGTGTACAACTTTTTGATAAAAATATAGAAAAATATCTAGGCTGCCTATTACTTTCAGCTAACTGAATTTTACAGAAATTGTTCATCTAGAGCAGAATTATTGCTGATTTGCAGTTTAACTGTCTTCTTCTGTTCAGTATTTCAGATATATTTACTTGCTTAGAAACCAGGCTTAGAACCTTGCTTAGAGATCACACTACAGAAACTGATTTTGGTGGGGTTGGTTTGTTTGTTTGTTTGTTTGTTTTTCCCCATTTTTATAGATTGGGATGCCCAGAGATCATCCTGAGCAGACTGAATAAACTTGCAAAGTGATTCAGAGATGATCACAGTTACATTAACTGCATTAAATGACAGTTAATATTTGGGGTGGGTTTAATTCTCTTTCCTGATCAGTGAATCATGTCAAATGATGGACAACCTAATACAAAATTTCCCAGATACATGTATCAAAGATCAATTTTATTATTTTTTTTTTTACTTCAAAAAATACACTGCAATTGTTATCATGTTATTTAAAGCTAAGAACACCTCACAGTCACAGAGATTTTATACTGGTTTCAGCAAGGGACCTACATTATCAGGTCAATGCCTATCACTTATTCAGTGATTTGTTTTCACTCTCCATTTCTCCTTCTCCCTAGTTCCCTTTGCCTTTTATTTCTACTTATTTCCCCAGACAGCCTTCTGTTGCTGATACAGCAATACATATGCAACCAAGGGACTAAAAAATAAATCAGTTTCTTAAGAAAGTGAATCCCTCGTATTATCCATTATGTCACGAAGGAGAAAAACTGTACAGAATACAAATGGTTGAACTCAGTAAACTTATGTTAGAAAGCATCGATCCAGTTAGTCTTCAGCAAAATGTAGTAGGTAGTACTAGGATTAACTGTGCTACACAGGAAGCTGGTTGATGTCATTGTGAGGACACTGTCAATAATCTCTGAGTGATCATAGAAATTAGGAGATGTGCCTGATGACTGAAGTGTATTAGGGCTACATAGTATGGTTTTGCTAGTGTGGGGGCTTCAGGGGTGGTTTCTCTGAGAAGATGCCAGACACTTCCTCCAGGTCCAATACAGCCAGTGATGGACCAAGATGGACCTGCCACTAGCCAAAGCTGGGTCAGTCAGCAATGATGGTAGCACCTCTGCAATAACATATTTAAGAAGGGGAAAAAATCCTGCTGCACAACAGCAGCTGGAAGAGAGGAGTGAGAATATGCAGATCTCCACCTGCAGCCCAGGGAGAGCCCCACGCCGGAGCAGGGGGATGCCTGAAGGAGGCTATGGCTCCACTGAGAGCATGTGCTTGTGCAAGTTTCCTGGCAGGACTCATGCCCCTGTGAGGGATACACATTGCAACGATCCATTCCTGAAGAACTGCACTGCATGGAAAGATCCCACACTGAACTAGTTAGTGAAGAACTGCAGACTGGGAAGGACTCACACTGAAGAAGTTCATGGAGTACTGTCTCCAGTGGGTGGGACCCCATGCTGGAGCAGAGGAAGAGTGTGAGAAAGAAGGAATAGTAGAGGCAATATGTGATGGACTGACTACAACCCTCATTCCCCATCACCCTGTGCCACACAAGGAAAGGAGGCAGACAAGCTGGGAGTGAAGTTGACACTAGGAAGAAAAGAGGGATAAAGAGAACATGTTTTAAGATTTACTTTTCATTTCTCATGATCCTACTCTGAATTTTGATTGCCAATAGGTGAAATTAATTTTCCTCAAGTGGAGTCTCTTTTGCCTGTAATGGTAATTGGTGAATGATCTTCTCCTGTCCTTATCTTGTCCCACGAACTTTTCATCATATTTTCTCTTCCCTGTGAAACAGAGAGACTGATAGAGTGGCTTAGTTGCCACCTGGGATCCAGTCAATGTTAACCCACAACATGGAGGAAAGCAAAAATCTTTCCTATCTTCAAGAAAGGCAAGAAGGAGGATCAAGGGAATTACAGACCAATCAACCTCACTTCAATCTCTGTGAAGGTGCTGAAGTAACTAATCTTGGAAATCAGTGCCAGTCACATGAAGGACAAGAAGGTAATAGCAAGTAGTCAGCAAGGATTCAAAAAGAGGAAGTAATTCTGACTAACCTTCTACAATGAAATAATTGTCTCGGTAGATAAGGGGAGAGCAGTGGATATTGTCTGCCTTGATTTCAGTAAAGCTTTCAGTGCTGCATCCCATAACATTGTCATAAAGAAGCTGATGAAAGTATGGGCTGGATGAGCAGACAAGTGAAGTAGATTGAAATTTTGACTGAAGGACAGGTCCAGACAGTCGACATCAGTGATATGAAGTCTAGTTGGAGGTCAGTAACTAACGATGTATATCAGAGTTAAATACTCATTACAGTCCCATTCAGCATTTTCATTAATGATCTGGATAAAAGGCAGAGTGTACCCTGATCAAGTTTTCTGATGACACAAAACTGAGATGAGTGTCTGATATATCAGAAAGGCATGCTGCTATCCAGAAGCAGATTGGAGAAATAGACTGACAGGAACCTCGTGAAGTTCAGCAGGGGGGGTTGTAAAGTCCTGCACCTGGGAAGCAAAACCACTATGCACCAATTTATACATGGGGGGCTGACCAGCTGGAAAGCAGATTTGTAGAAAAGGACCTGGAGATTCTAGAGAACACCAAGTTGAACATGGGCCAGCAACATGCCCTTGGTGCAAAGGTGGCTAATGGTATCCTGGGCTGCATTAGGAGCAGTGTTGCCAGCAGGTGGAGGTGGGTGATCCTTCCCCTCTATTCAGCCACACCTGGAGTGCTGTGCCCAGTTCCGGGCTCCCCAGAACAATAGAGTCATGGCCATACTGGAGAGAGTCAAACAAAGGTCCACCGCATTGATGAAGGGCCTGAAGCATCTCTCATATGAAGAAAGGCTGGCACAGCCAGGACTTAGTCTAGAAAAGAAAAGACTCAGGGGAGATGGGAGGGATTAAAGAAGACAAGAGTCAGGCTCTTTTCAGTGGTGCCCAGTGAAAGGGCAAGGGGCAGTGGGGTCAAACTGAAATACAGGAGGTTCTATTTGAACATCAGGAGACACTCTTTTACTGGGAGGGTTACTGAGAAGTGGCACAGGTTTCCCAGAGAGCTTGTGGAGTCTTCCATGGCCAATATAAAAGTGCAGGGACTTCATTATATTCAGCAGAGTTATTAGTTTCTACTTGTTTGAATTAGCCCACAAATTTGAAGGGAGGTATTTAAGAAGAAATAAAAATAGATCTGTAACATTTTGCAGTAACTATAGATGGCTTTTATTCACTTTTGCATAGAACATATTGTATAGTTTCTCTACCCGAAAAATAGGTAATTTACTTTCATTGTTTTCAGCTTATTATTTACTTTCTGTTCTGTCTTTCTAGAAGGTACTTTCAGATCTTATCTTGCTGATTTATTAAAGGTTTGTTTTAGAGGCTTGCAGCAAACCTTGAAAGAACATTCAATTTAAGATTACTTGAACCCTGTCATACCTCCATGGCTTTTAATATTTCCATCATTGCCAATGTGATTTATTTCAGAAAAGTTACTTTAGTGCATCAAGATTTTTTAAAGATTATTGTAAGTATCTTCTTTAGTTGAAATGGGTAGAAACTGTTTTTTTAATGATTTTTAAATTTAGAAAAAGCCACAAAAATATCAAACTATTTCAAAACAAAAAATTAAGCAAAATCAAATTCAAACTTTTAAAATCAACCCAGCTTAACAGGTAAAAACCCTTTTTATAATATTTATTAATTCCCATTTTTGTAATCCAATTACTCAGTGAATAACACCTTTTGTGGCCATTCACCATATTCATTCTCAATGTCAGGCAAGAGTTAGCAAGAGAGATTATCATCAGCAGTCTAGTGACTAGGGTGTTCTGGTGGGTTGGAAAGCTCTAGAAATGTCCCTTGGTTACTTTACAAAGCAAGTAAATTCAATCTACAGTTACGGGTCATTGCTAAAGATGATATACTTTCCAACCAGCCTTTTAAAATAAATAATACCCTTGCCTTGTTTTCTTTTCTAAATTGTCCTTATCCTTACTCTGAAGTCTTATTCCTGTTTTAATTTTAAATATTTTGGAAGACTTCTATCTAACGGCAAAAAGAAGAACAACTTGTACTCCTCACTAGAAGTTTGAAAAACACTTTTGACCTTTAGTCTTCTGGTTTGTCTTCTAAGGATAAAGTCTACAGCCTTGTATAATAGCTCAACATTTCAAGGTGCCACTATGGACTATTTTTTCAGTAATTCACAAATTAAGTGCTCCTTAAAAAATCTTTAACATGATAAAATATAACAGGTACAATAGAGATATGGGCAATCGCGTCAGTTAACAGCGATACCCTACTGAGTTTCCACTGGAAAAAAACAGGAGTAAATCATATATCCGAATAAAAGCAAATAACTAGAACCAATTTCTAGCTTCACAGGGAGGATATGCTTGTCCTGATATCCTACAACTAAACAGAAAAAACTGAACTCTCATTGTATGACTGTAATTTCTGCTAGACATGTGGATAGGTTTAGGGATTGGCTACTCAAACTCTGTCTGAGAAAAGTAGATGCATGTAGTAGTGAACACTCTGGAAAATCTGGCTTTTAAATTCTTTATTTATAAACCTGAACTTTTGCCCTTTGTTCATGTGTTTTCACAGGCAATCAGTTCACTCCAAACTGAATTCTTTCCACAGTGAAGAAGAGGGAAAGCAGACAAAACTAAACCAGAACCTTCTTCATCTATATAAATTAAATGTATGACTCTTAGATGTGGATGAGTAGCTTTCATGGAAGGATATCCGGCTTGGCTCCTTTGAAGGACTTAGACCACATAACAGTGCTCTGCAACCTAGTCTAAGAAATACAGGTCAGTATTTAAACAATACCTTTCTGCTTGCTTTTGTCACATGCCACTAAGTAATCAACATGTTCTAAGAAAGTGGATAAATGTGCAGCCTGCCTTCCAAGTAGTAACTATTTGATCAGTCTTTTAAGTGACTTTTATTTGACACACACACACAAAACACCTCTTTCTATATATGCATACAGAGCTTTTGTTTATATACAGACACTCAGCACAACACAGTTCATATTTTTTCCCTCAGATGTGTGGGAATTTGACAGCATTGTGTTTTACTGACATTGGTCAGAGAGGAGAAAGAAAGTTGAGGAGGAAGGGAGAAGAGGTACTGGAATACACAGAGTATTTTAACAGACATTAATCACTTTAAATAGTTGATTATAAAAAGGTCCCAACAGCAGTCAGGAAATATACCATCTGCTGACAGTATTTGTAAGCAGGTGTGAAGAGTGAGGATAAGAGGGACGGCTTTCAAAAAAAAAAAAAAAAAAAAAAAAAAAAAAAAAAAAAGTCATTTCATGACATAAATGTAATCTGAAATCCAACCCCTTTTAAATCTCCACTGAGAATTGCCTTTTCCAAGAAAAAAAAACAAAACCAAAAACAATTCAGAGAATTTATCCTAACAGAGAACTATGGATTTCTTATTGTAAAATTATTCATGGGAAAGTTGAAGATAGAATTCCTTCAGAAGGATTCATTACATGAATAATTCAGTCTGTAGTATATGGATTTCAAATTATTAGATCCTACAGGATATCAATTATGACTTGTATATTAAAGTTTCTGTAAAACTTGACCTGTCATGTGTAAATAGTTTAAATATTAAATGTATCTGTAAGCATGAAGAAAGTTTAATCTTCATATGTCATAGAATGGTTTGGTTAGAAGGGACCTCAGAGATTGCCTAGTTCCAACCCCCCCACCATGGGCAGGGACACCTTCTACTAGATAACATTACTCCAAGCCCCATCCAACCTGGCCTTGAACACTGCCAGGGAGGGGGTACCCACACCTTCTCTGGTCAACCTGCTCCAGTGTCTCACCACCCTCACAGCAAAGAATATCTTCCTCATATCTAATCTAAATCTGACCTCTTTCAGTTTAAAACAATTACCCTTCATCCTATCACTACACTCTCTGATAAAGAGTCCCTCCCTGTCTTTCCTGTAGGCCTCCTTTAAGTCCTGGAAGGCCACTACAAGGTCTCCCCAGAGCCATCTCTTCTCTACACTCCAGCCATCCAGATCATCTTCATGGCCCTCCTCTGATCCCACTCTAACAAGTCTATGTCCTTATTATACTGTGGGCCCCAGAGCTGAACACAGGTGGAGTCTTATGAGAAAGGAGTAGATGGGAGAGTAGAGGGGGAGAATCACCTCCTTTGACAGGGTGCAGCTGGAGGGGGGAGCCCTGTGGAGACAGGACAGTTTTGTTCTGGTGCACCTGGTCAAATTTCAGGGGCCATCTGTCCAGTGAATGACCTCTGCTTCATTATCCACGAAATGCATATTAAAGTTAACACCCCTCAATATGCTAACGAAGACTAACATGATCATGCTAATTACATCATCCCATGAAACACCTTACCCCTCCCCATACATGGGATACGTAGGTATGTGGATTGACCCAGGGGATGGACCCAGGGAAAGTGGGTATATATCGAGGGGGGGGGAAGAGGCGGGGGGGCAGGGGCAGATAGTTCAATGAAGCGAAGAAGACGGATGCCTCTTGGAACCCTCACTGGCAGGATCGATGCAGAAACTCAGGCCAGTGATCTCTATTCCTCTATTCCCTCTATCTCTCCCCTTTTTCCCCTTTTCCTTCACTACCATTAAGAAATGCAAGGCATACTGTACTTCTTGCCACAAATCGTTACATACTTAGCCAATTATCATGTATCCAATTAGTACATTGTGGGTAGTTAATAAATGTTTGGATTTTGAGGCTTGTCTCACCATTGTCCATTCTGCTGGGGATTTGTGAATCTGAGTCACTTGTATCCCTCCTCTGAGCGGGACATGACACTCACAACCTCTCCATCATGTCAATAAGATCATAGCCCTGCTCCTCTTGCTTATTCCTTATGATATGCATGTTAGCATAGAGGCATTTACGTTGGGCCCCCACTGAAGCTGATTTGCTGGCTGGAATTCCTGCTGAACGGTGACCCCTCTCCAGGCTCTGGGCATCTATTGTTGGCACTGGCATCAAGCTGGTATGAGTGGGATGGGTCAAGGTTGCCCTCCTCTGGCAACTTTAGTTTAAAGCCCTCCTCACCAGCTTGGCAAACCTATGGCTGAAGATGCTCTTCTCTTTCTTTGACAGATGGACCCCATCAGCCCTCAGTAGACCAGGTTTCTCAAAGTGAGTCCCATGGTCTGTGGCTGAAGCCCTCGGTGTGACACCAGTCCCTTGACCAATGTAAAGATTCTTAGAGTTATGTTCTTCGCCAAATCCATTAATTTGTTAGCTAAATGCTATAATCCATAATTTCTCCTTATATTTAACTATTGTAGTTACTATCAGCATAACTTTAAAAAAAAAACAAACAACTTTTTCAAGGCAATGGATGTTTTTGTCTTTGGAGCAAAAACCATCATACTTAGTGTTGTACTGTTTGGATGTTGCAAAAAGAGCATCACTATATATATTAAATATATTTTTAATTTTTATTATGAAAATAATTCAAGGATGAAGTGTTTATCACAAAACCAAGTGTTTTTCTGTGATTTATTAGTATCAAATTTTTCAATGTTTCTTTGATTAAAATTTTATGCAAATGAAAATGTTCCCATGAATTAGCTTAATCTTCTTTTCCTCAACCAAATTAAAAAAAACCCCAAACCTGTTTTTTTTATTTTTAATAACTATGAAATAAAAAGTAATTTATCCCATGCCATTGTTAGCTATCTGATACTTGTTTCAAATTGCACACATTCTTAGGTAAATTACTTAAGTACCTTTTTTCAAATCTATGATAATTTTTGGTTCTATGAATTTCATGAGACTGTTGACAATCCCTTAGATTTTATTACTATCTGCCCTTTCTATTGAGGTAAAGGTATTCCAGGGCTTTAGGAAAAGAATTCTGATGAAATACATACAGATGAAAAATGAAATCTGGTTAACATTTTAGCCTTTGTATACTGAAATAAGACATCCTGCAGCTCTTAATATTTTCTCTGAATATATTGGGGGAAAAAAAAAAAAAAAAAGAGAGAAAAGTTGTTAATTATATAAATTAAACAAAGAAATAATTTGATTACATAACTTATATGTAATTATATAATTTAAGGAAATAATTTAAACCAAAATATCTTTGGAGAATATTTAAGCTGCTAAAAATGGGGAGAACAAGGGATAGTGCAGGACTAGGAATTGTGACTACAATGCTTTCCTGCAGGGACATAAGTATGGAATCCCTGAATTGTATCTCCAAGGATCAAATATTTGAATTATGTTTTGCTATATAAAGTTTCCTATTGGGGAATCACAGAAGTGATGTCATGAAAGAGAACTTATTTTTCACTACTACTGTGTATTCTGAGATTTGTACTTTAACAGGTAAGATAACATCAAAGACTAACTCTCAAAGAGTACAAGTCTCATGCTGCTGGACCTCCCTGATAATTTTGGCAGGATATTTTTTTTAATACTCTTAGTATTAATATTAATCAAACTTCCTAGGGTAAATTAAAAATGAATAACAGTATTTCCCAGTGTATTCAAACGAATAATTACTGAATTGTACCAGGCCAGTTTCTTCAATCTTTAATTCCAGAATTCACTTAGGTGAAAATTAATCAGCTTCCACTAGTCTATAGCTTCAACTCAAAATATATGGAATCCTAATTGTAAAGTGTACATGTGTATTTTCGCACAAATTTATGTGTGGGATATATTTACCCATTAAAAAAATCTGTATTATATCCTTCCATAGCTATGAAGAATTCATGAAAGAGATGAATTGATATATGGAGAGCTTAAATTTATGCTCCTATATGCTCAAACATGTTCAAAAGCAAGGCAAATGCAAAAATGTTGTATACTTCTCAGCATTCAAAAGTGAATGGCAATGAGTCCTTCTGCTTTAATAATTTTTTTATCTAATATACACCCTAACATCACAAAGTAAGAAGGTTCTTTGGGATAAAATCTTTCAAATAATACACACAGATGTTCAAATTGTCTCCTACAATAACATCAGGTTTCATATGTTACAAAACACTAATTACAGCCCAGAGGAATAATTCTTTAAAAATTGACCTCATAAATTTTGCTTAAGGTTTTGAAACTAACAATCCTTTGTAGTTTGTGATTAACTGTATGCATAAATGAATAATAATAAAACAGTTACATATTTTCTGAGGCTTACTAACATGACTATACATGAAGAATAATGCATTATTCATAACTTCTGCTAACATGGAGTAATTTAGGATACAAAATCTTACTGCAGTTTAAAGGAATAACATGTATTGTTTAGAGTTCAATTCTTCTACAATGCACATCCAAAACTTTTGTGGTTTTTTTATTCCTTATTGGATAAATATAAATTAAGAGTAAGAACAAAAAGGTTATGTGACAGTTACATCTAAATTTTAAATACTCTTCTGTTATAAATTACTGCTTTATAAAGAAATGCAAATTCATAGCAATAACGTCTGTTATAGGTTTTATAGTAAAAAAAAAAAAAAACACAACATGAAGTAGAGAAATTTCTAGTGTCAAATATTTTTTCACCTAAACATATAATTTCTGAGGCCAAGAAGAAAGTGCATAGAAAATTGTGCACTTACAGTAAAACAATAAGCAATGATATTATACAGAAAATAGAAAATTGGTTTGCCTTAATCCACAAAGAGCAAAACTGAATCTACATGAGGTCTGTGCTTAAATCATAGCTGGCAATTGTTGAA